GATAGATAGATGGATAGATGGATGGATAGATAGATAGATAGATAGAAGATAGATGGCAGCACCTGTTTCAGGCATATTTTGGTTTTATCTCTTTACAACAGGAAGTGGAGACGCATCCTCCATCTTTATTTCACAAGCCAGACACACGACAGCGTCACTCGGTCACCATAGTTCTTCTCTTTGCTTTGTTTCCTCTGGACTGTTTTGTTTTCGGGGCTTTTCTTCATCTGCTTCAGTGACGAGTGTTTGTAATTATGATGAATTCTTCATTAAAAAAAAAGACGCTCTCTTACGTTCACTTATCAGGCCTGTTAGCTTTTGGCTCATTTGTACTAATAATGAAACAAGAAGTTCACACAGTTTAATTGAAATATGTCCTATTGTCCCCAAACTGTCTGCTAACATTCCTCTTTTTATGGCGCCTGAGCAAAAGAGATAAAACAAAAGTGGACGGTGACAGAAACCTAATAATCTTCAACAGCTGCCTCCACTAGTGTCTCTCCAAGTATACGATCCGTTCTCCGAAAAGGTCAGCGCGGTCGAGGTGGTTCACAGAAAGTTGAACTGGACTAATCACAGTCACAGTTAGTCTAATGTCTGATCAGCGGATGGAACGGAATCAAAAAACCTTTTATCCAAATATCCCTCGTCACCGTCAGCGCGAGCTAACGTTTAGTAATTCATCAACGTATAAGAAACAAATCACGTGATGATTCTGACTTACAATGGATATAAAAGCTCCCACAGATGATTTCCTTTTAAAAACCAGCTCTACAGGGGATCGTTCTATCCTCTGCAAAGGACGCGTCAAGAGAAAGGAATAGAAACGAAGACCCACGGCAGGGTTTTGATTCAAAGAACGAGTCTCTGAGGAAATTAATTAGCAGTCAAAAGCAGCGTCTGCACTCTGCATATAACTCACTGACCATGTCCAACAGCCCTGTCGCACATAATGAGAGGCTTCAGAGAGGCACAGGCTGGTTTTCACGTCGACATTGTACAAACACTATTACAATAATGACTCGTGAATCTGAAGTAGTCGAGCTTATGTCACTTTTCAAAGCAACGAAACAGGCAGCAAGCAAATACACGGAGGATCACGCTGTCACTGGAGCAGCTGCTTTATTCCTTCGCACAGACATTTTAACATTTCATCTGAGGGGAGATGAGCCGAGATTGGTAAAACAATTCAGGAGCCTCTCAATCAATATCACCCAGACACTTCCAATTTTTTTACATTTGAATCTTTTGATGAGAGCTGTGGTTTTTAGAAATTGTCTCTCTCTAAAAAAAAAAAAAAAAAGCTCTCAGATTGTTTCCTTCCTGGACGTCAGCGATCGGACGAGATTCACATCAAACGTTTTCGAAGCGCAGAGAAAATGAGCAGTTTTCCAGTCAGACATTTTTTTTTTTTATCAGAATATGAGTAAGTTTTATTTCTATAACTCAAGGTTACAAAGCACTTTGCACAATTACATAGGAATAAGACGAATCAAAAATAAGAAAGATGTATTTAATACAAACCACATCCTTTAAACAGGTAGAAATACCATAAAACACGTTTTAAGCGAAACAGGCGCCAGACTGAGGAACTACAAGTGTCGGCTTATGCTGTGATATAACTGGGAGCCAGACTTTATTAAGTTATCAAAAGAATCATACGAATCGATCCTACAGGCTTGGTGTCGGTTTAAATAGGAGCCGGGGTAGAAGCTGAGACGATATTCTGTCTCGCTCCACAGTCACTGCTGCAGACTCTGGCTCCTAATGACGTCAAAAGTGCAACACGAGTGGGAACACACGTATCTGGAATATCTCCGCTTCTTTTTTAGACGAGTGGAGCAGCGTGGTCCATCTTTATTCACCGCCTATGAGCTCAGGCCTCGTACTCGACCTCGGTGAACTCACGAGCAGATATTCGCTCAGGTCTGTGGCCCTCAGTCAAACTATCTGCAGCTCTCATGTAAAAATAATTTTAAAAAATAAATATATTTTAGCTGCTGCGGATACTTTCCACCATTGATGCACCTGTGAGTTCCTGAGTGTCTGCTGTAAAAACACCCATGGCTGCTGAAATAACCGTATCAGCAGCTAATTGAAAACGAGGATTAAGAAAAAGAAAACATGACATAAACAAAGGCAGAGAAGCTGAACAGAGGGTTTCACTCTAAAATCAAGGGGATATTTTAAATCAGTTACAGACATTCAACCGTCGGAGGCAGTTATATGTGAAATTACTGTATTTTTTTTTGTTGCCAAAATGGTGCCAGATTTCGTTCTCACGTCGGGAACAATAATTATGAACTCAAACACCTTCCAACCTGCAGCTTCCAGCTCCTGCTGCTGGTTAATGAACTTTCTCCACCGGAGCACAGACGTGATAAGTGGCTTGCTCAAAGACCAGGGATTCAAACTCCTGATGTTGTGCGCGGATCTTAATTCTGTAATGAAAAGCTTAAATTGTTGGGGGACCAAGGGGCTGGAAGCAGTTGTTAACATACACGTTAATCAGAATAATAATAGCTGATTATTAATGATAAGACAAACTGTAAATGATGAGACAGAGAGTCAGACGTGACTTGAATCAAAAGTAGAGTAGAAATAATTCCACTGTGGTTGTTTGCCTCCACCACTCAATGCAGATTCAGGTCAAAGTGAACGTTTGTGTGAAATTTGAAGAAATTCCCCCCCTGAGATTTTCTTGAAATAATTTTTAAACCCACAGCGACCTTGACCTTTGACCTTTGACCACTAAATTCTACTCAGATCACATCCTGGAGTCGAAGTGAACATTTGTACTGAATTTGAATCATTTCCCATAAAGTGTTCTTGTACATGAGAGAGTTACACAACCTACAATTCATGATTTAATAATAAAAAACCATTATAGTATGAATACAATTATGTGAAAAGGAATAATTGAGTTTCATGAAACAGTTTTTTTCCTGCTAATGAGTCACCAGTGTCCCCAGATGAAAAGTTTTAATTAAAATCAATAGTGTTCTTTACTTCAACACCACACGATTAGAACCACAAACAGTGTTTTCACCGAGAGACGATTAAAATGTCAGACACACACACACACACACAGAAGCTGCGTAACAACATCAGTCAGTTGTAACCAGCGCTGAGATTCCGCTCTGGCTTTTCAAAGAGCTGCTCGTCGGGTCACGGACACGGTGCAGCTGTGGTCCTGAGTCAGACGCAGCCTTGGAGCTGCTCCTGCGGCGCCGGGGCGAGGAAACGTCCCTGACCACGGCCCAATTACACATTCAGAATAATCACACACCCGATGTACACCAGCCTCATCTGGCCTCTGAAGTCTCCTCTGTTTTGTGCCTCTGCCAGCAGAGCGTCCGTGGGCTTCTCAGAGCCAAGGTTTCAAATCCTCCACTGGTGATTTGTCTCAGAGTAAATGTGAAGTTAAAGCAAATCAAACAAATCTCACAACACACATCACTTTTATGATTTCAGTTCTCATTGGCATCACTATACACAATACAATGAATCACAATTATAAAGTATTTGTACAACAAAACAGGTAAAAACCATTAAAAATATAAATCCAAACAACAATTTCCTCCATTATCATATTTAATATCTAGCGTTCTTGTTCTTTTTGAACTTGTACCTTGCTTAATGGAGCACCGTGGTCTCACTGGTCACCGATAAGTACTTCGCACAGAATAAACTCATGAGGTTTCAGAGTGCGCCCTCTTGAAGTCGTGGATGAATTGACAGATCAAGCCGAAGAGCTCCTGAGAGTCTTTATCCGGCGGTTCTCCGAACTTCACCTGGACAAGACACAAACAAGATCGGAAATTAAAAACATTAAAAAACAAACGTAAGCCCGACAGCAATTACACCTTCTGCCACGGTGGAGCTTATAAAAGTTATTTTCCAATCAGCTGCTGTGTTCGTCTCCATCAGCGAACTGCTGCCTGGGACGTGCACATCCTCCCTAACGATGGACTTCTGATATAATTACTTCATATCCTGCCTCAGCATGCAGTTCATTCTTAGAGTCCACTGATGCGCCGAGGTGAACGTGTGCTGCTGGATTAACACCGTGCACCTGGTGGGTTCAGGGTCAGTGATTCTCCAGTCACACTCTATCAGAGAGGGCCAACACGACTAAGTGAACTAATTGGCGTCTCGTATGCTGTCGACTTAAAGTTCAGGGTCAAACCGACGCTCTGATCTTTTTATTAATCCGAATATTTTACACATTTTAAAGATGCTTTATGTCTTTATTATGTAGGTATGATTACTAATAAGCAGTAGATTATATATTTTTTAGGGTGCATGCGTCCAAAAATCCATAACCCTATAAATGAATGCAGCGATTCATTAACTAAGAATTATTCACTAAATCGATGTGACACCTTCAACACCGTGAGACGTCCCAGATTTGCTGAGGCTCGGCGTGTACCAGGGTGAGTGTGTTTGTTTTACAGCGTCGGCTGACACCTCTGACAGGTTCACACAGGCGCGAGATGTCTGGTTTGATAGTGACAGTTGATTATCAACACCTCCTCATATCAAACTCTCACATCCGATATCAGAAAACATTCTTACACACACACGTTGAGCACCGCACTTCAAGAAGGCTTTGAGAGGGGGGGAGAAAAAAATAAATCAAGGCGCCGCTTGTTAGAGGAATCAAAGTGTTTCCACTTTAACGAGTGAGGATAAGGAGGATAATGAGATCGCCGGGTGCATGTGTGTCGCACCTCGGTGCTAATAGACAAAGGAGAAAACAAGGTTTGCTGTTAGTCTGAGCTCATTTATCTTCAAGCTGGTGTCAGACACTTAATTGGTCAAATAAAAACACCAATGTCAGAAGTATGATCGTAAAAAAAAACAAGAATGTCAATTATATTATCACTGCTACACTCAAACAAGTAGCATCAACCCTATCGGCTTCAATATGTGATATGACACAGTATAGTGAAGAAAACTGTGTATATGTTTAGTTTTCTCATGTAATTTTAAATTAATAACATTTATAACCAAAGCACAGCTTCAATAATACCATGAAGTTTACTGTTGTAGACAAATACTTCACATTTTTATAAAACCACACTTAATTATACATCATTACAGCCTCAGTATTAATTATTAGTGAATTAGTAAATATCTTTTCATTTTTAACGTCTGTGTCTTGCTTTTGTCTTCTTTTATTTGCCCTAAACCAAATTGTGATAAACAAAGTTGTATTGTGTTTCTTAATGCTATGAATACAAATACATTTGCAAGACTGGGACCTGAAATGTTCCAGAATAATCCTGCGTCACCTTTAATCTGCAGGTTTGAACTGTTCGCTTTGAATCAAATTCAAAACAGCAGAAATTAAATATGTACCTCCTGAGATAGAATTGATTTTTTGACATCTTACTCATGTGGTCTGTTAGAAATATGAATGTTATGAGTAGAAATCGGTAACGTGACATCACTGCCGATGTTACGATGAGTCGCATGATGCGAAATGAAACGTGTTCCTGCAAAATCATGTCACATAAAAATCCCCCCCTTTCTTTTTGGTGCTGTGGATGATTTTCAAACTCACGCCTCAAGAGGAACTACTGCAAAAACAACCTCTCCAAACTCAGGCCCCCAAAACTTTCATGAGCCTCGTCTATGTTTCATAAATTTGCATGTTGGTTTTTCAAAGGCGTCATTATGAATTCAGCTCTTGACAGGCTGTGACAAAATGAGACGCCTATTCCCCAACCTGCTGCTCTCTGGCAAAGCAGTCCAGTCAGCCTCCATCATCCCCCCCCCCCCCGTGTTCCTGAAGGGATGGATTGTATATTCAGGACGTTTCATTGGCACAATATTAGAACAGGGTCCCGAACACTGGGTCCTATCAAGGGACTGAAGATTGAACTGTGCCCATTGGTTTGACTTTGACTAAACTTTGAGGGACTGTGTCTGGTGTTGGGACACGAAACAGCCTAACAGGGATTCTGCACTTCAAAAAGCAACATGTCTTACTTTATTATTCATTAGAGAGAAAAGAAATCGCCTGAACCATACATCGAATATCTCTTCTTTTGGGTTAACTTTGATTTCAACGTGCAGGGGTGACGGCACATCTTGGCAACGCTGCCTGGTGATTAAAAATATAACTCCTGGGCTGAAGGGGACACGACAGTTAAAGGTCAAATTGTTAAACTTTCAAAGGCCACAGGCACGACACCACTTTTTAATGCTTTAATACTTGGGGGAGCGATTTATGTTAATCTAACTTGTGAGGACGTTTCACTTAAAAAGGTTTGACATTATGGGAAAAACGGTTGTTTGCTTTCTGACCAAGAGAAAGATGAGACGATCGACACAGCTCAGCTACAGGAAATAAGACTGTGCAGGCAGGAAGGAAGGTTCTCTCATCAGTATGGGGGACTCGTTTTTTTTTTTGTGTGTGCTTTTGTGAAATTGTGGCAAAATTTACATTCTGAGTGGTTTTTATCTGCAGATGCATTCGCAAATTAGCAGCAGGACTCCTTGGCCTTTTGCCACATTCTCTACTCGACTGAAAACAAGCCAACTTGAGGATGTAATTTACGAGATTAACCGACTGGGAGCAGCTGAAAACAACATTTAGCCACCATAACAGGTAAAATGTGAAATTAAATACATTTTGGACGTGTGAGAACTGAAAGATTTGGTCAAACAGAAACTCGGTTTTCATTTTGCTTTTTGAACTCCTGACGATATTCGATATTACCCCTGGTTTCATTCTTTTTGTGACGATGACAGTGACAACTCATTTCCAGAGGCATACCCCTGTTATTAAGTTCTCTTACTTCATAACACAACATTAACTGTGTCCTGTAATCTGCCTCTTTGCTTCCTCGAGTGCAAGTTGCAGAAAAACCTTGCACAGAAACCTACTTGTCAGTGTAACGCAATTCCTCACCGGGCCTGAAGCTCACAGCTCGTGTGCTGATATCTCAGTGCTCAGACACAGTGGG